TGGTAGACAGACTACTGAATAATGATCTGCTCTAAAGCTGTAATAAACCATTCTAACAAACAAAATTTTTAGTAAAAATGTGACTGTTTATGCTGTGAAAGTCTCAAAGCAGCTGGAACGCTGCTCAGTCAGTAGCAGCTGACACAGGTAGTATTATCTGTAGATGCGGGCTGAATATTTCTGTTTATCTTACTTGGTTCAATTCTAGTTCTCTTCTGAAGTTTGGAAAGTTACCGTGAAGGTTCAGAATGAATGAGGATTTTAAAATAAATTTCCCTGAGATCCCAAGTGAAATCCTTAGTGGAGAAAGAGGCTGAGCTGCCTGACTTTGAATGTGTGTGTGCCTATGTGTGTGTGGGGAGGGGGGGAGAGAGAAAGAGAGAGAAATTTGGAAAGCCTGCCCAGGGGAAGAGCTGGGGACTTTCTACTTTGTTTTCATGAGAAAAAAAATATCATAAAATTATTTTTCAAGGGCAGTTCTTGTTGGAAAGGCCAATGAGAATTCTTTATATGCATCCAACAGTCTTAAGCACTGTATGAGATACAGATGTACAAAAATCTGGAACATTGTCTGAAGCAACTCTGTTGATAATACTTTCTTTAAAAATAAATTAGTTCCCATGTAGACTGACTTTGATAAACTTGCTTTCTTGTGTTCTTAGCATTTAATTTTGGAGGGATGTCACAATTCAAGATAAGTAATCTATTGAGTGAAATCATTTCAATGTAATTAAAATGTTCAACTTAAGCATTTGAATAAATGTATGAAATACCGTATGAATAGGCTGTTATAAATGTTCATATATTCTATTCTTGTTTAGCCAAATGTGATATATTGGCAAGAATTAATCTATGGGAAATTAAATCACATTTAGAAAATTAAAACTGCAGATGCAACATGAGGGAAATATTAATTTTTATCTTTTTAAGTCAGTGTTTCTTGTTTCATGAATTTACATGATAAAAAATTGTATTTTTAGATTACTTTAAAGCATCTTTTAGCAAATAATGACTTTCTATTTCTGGATTTTAATTTTTAATGGAGAGTCTCCATAGCAACGCTTGCCCAGTCAATTGCCTTTGTTCTTTAAAAAAAAAAAAAAAAAAGAATTTATCTATTTCCAGGTTCCTACATTCTTGTTATGATTTTGTTTGCTGACCTGAAGAACTCTGCATTGTCATATCTTGCTTTTTGTTATTGCTTTGTAAATAAATGTGCCCTTTAATATTTACTTAAGGATAAAATCAATTAATTTCCTTCAGTTGGGTGGACTGGGACATCTTCCTTCCCTGTTGTTCATACTTGGGATCTATGCCATGATCTGAATTTTTGTTTGTAATTACCCAGTGCTGACCCACTGCTGAAAGAGAACATTGTAAGCTTACTTGTATTCAGTACCTCTGTTTACACACAGAAAAACTACAATTTCCCTTTAAGCTTTCTGCCTATCATTAGAGAATATCCAGTAAAATATGATTTTTTTTCATAGAATTTCCAGATTTTGTAATAGTTTTCCGTATTGTTTGATCTTCATTTCTACACAAATGTCTTCACACTTACATGTGTAGAAATTCATCAGATATAGAAAATTAATAAGTGTTGGCCAACTAGCTCTCATTCTTTTTGCTTCAAGAGAAAACAGAAACACTTAGGTTCTACTTTGTAAATGAATGTACAAAACATTGTTTTGGACATGGTGTATGTCTGAGATTACACCAATATGTGATGTGACTGATGCTCAGCACACATATGTGTGTAGAATCATAGAATGGTGTGGCTTGAGGGGGACTTTAAAGACCACCTTCTTTCAACCGACCCACTAGATCAAGCTGCCCAAAACCCTATCCAGCCTTCACAATTTTAGACAGGAGGTAAAGAAATCTGAATGGCGATGATACCTCATACTTGTTTCAGAAAAGTTTTTGCACCCTGCAGATTTGAGGTATGCGGGTATCTGACTTATTTTTCAATCAAGAGGAGCATTGACCAGGTGTTTTCTGTGCAGTGAATGTAAATGTTTTGCAATGCATTGTTTGCTTTGCAATTAAGGCAATGGGAATGTGATCCACAACAAACATGTATGGTCCATCTGGTCCTTGCAGAGATTGCAAGCCTAGTGCCCAGTGGTCAAAAGCATTGCCTCAGCAGAGATACCTGATTCAGTGTGTCTGGGAGCTGCTTTGGTTTGAAAGTCCTTTGTGAACAATGTGCTCTCATCTGCTTTGTTTTACCTCTCTGGGTGAAAGATAAGAGTTGACTTTGATTTGTGCTGGAAGTCCCAAGCTTAGAGAAATGGAAAACTTGTTTTTATCTTGCAGTATTTGGATAAAAGAAGGGAATCTGCATTTAAACACTGCATTAAGTATTTATACATTGCTTAAGACTCACCTCTTATTCTGATCCTCACCAGTGCGTTAATGATTTTAGCATTCAGCATATACTGTTGGCAAATACATAGTTGATGTTTATTGTGTATCTAATGAAGGATTTACCTTTTATTTTTAAGTAACTGTTGTATAATCAAAATTATGTGAAGTACAAAAACCACCAGATAATTTTTCATAAGTTTAAAAAATTTATTGAGCGCTTAACAAGCTCAGAAACCATACAATATGTCAGTACAAAATTTCAAGTGTTTCCTATTACAGCTGTTAATATCCACCTTTTGATGAAACAACAGCACTGAGTTGGTCTCTAACTCCTTAGCTTTACACAAGGAATCCAGCAAAAGTAACTCAGTAGTCTGAACATCAGAGGAATAGTAAGCATACCAGGAATGCAGGTCTGATATTCTGAGGATTTATGCTTAATCTTGTAAGCTTAATCTCACCTGCTGTAAGATTAGGGACTGCAGTCAAGTCAGAGATGTGACCTTACTGGCTCTTAGTGGTTATGTACAAGCAATACATCTTGCTGGGGAGCTTGAAGACACAACCTCTTTGCAAACTGTCTTGTTAAGGCAAGTGATGTAGGCTTGGAAAATTTATCAGAGTTCAGAGATCTCAGGCTGTGGTTTCAAGATGGTTTTAATCTATCTGGTAGGAATTAATTTTGATCCCTCTTCAGCACTTCTGTTACTGTGTGCATGGTTCTTATGCTCATTAAACCACCTGACTTTCCCACTCTTGACTTTGGATTGGCTTCTGCTGTTTTAATGATCTAAATTGACCAATTAGACCTATCAGTCTCACCTCAGTGCCAGGGAAGGTTATAGAATGGATAATCTCAGGAGTCATCATGGACCAATTAAAGGTCAACCAGGGGATCAGGTCAGCATGGGTTTACAAATGGTAGATTCTGTTTGACAAACTGACTTTGTTCTAAGACAAGGTGGCCCACTTAGTGAATGAAGGTAAAGCTGTCAGTGTGGTCTGCCTGGGCTCCAGTAAAGCCTTTGACACTGTTCCCCACAACATTCCCATTGAGAAGCTGGCTGCCTGTGGTTTGGGTGGGCATACTGTCTGCTTGGTGAAACACTGGCTGGATGGCCGAGCCCAGAGTTGTGGCAAAGGAGTTAACTCCAGTTGGCATCCAGTCATGAATGGTGTCCCCCAGGGCTCAGTACTGGGGTCACTCCTATTTGACATCTTCACTGATGATCCTGATGAGGGGATTGAGTGCACCCTCATTGAGTTTGCAGATGACACCAAGTTGGGAGGGAGTGTTGATCTGCCGGAGGGTAGAAAGGCACTACAGTGAGACCTGGATAGACTGGATCGATGGACCAAGGTTAACTGTATGAGTTTCAATAGGGCCAAGTGTCAGGTCCTGGATTTTGGTCACAACAGTCCCAGGCAACCTTGCAGGCTTGGGGAGGAATGGCTGGAAAGCTGCCTGATGGAAAGGGAGGTTGGTGTACGGATGGATAGTAGGCTGAATATGAGCTAGTGTGCCCAGGTGGCCAAGAAGGCCAGTGGCATCCTGGCAGAAATGTTGTGGTGAGCAGGACTAGGGAAGTAATCCTGTCCCTGTACTTGGCACTGGTGAAGCCTCACCTGGAGTACTGTGCCCAGTTTTGGGCACCTCAGTACAGAAAGGACATTGAGGTGCTGGAGGAGGTCCAAAGAAGAGCAACAAGGCTTGTGAGGGGCTTGGAGAATATGCTCTATGAGGAGCTACTGAAGGAACTGGGGCTGTGTAGTCTGGGAAAGAGGAGGCTGAGGGGAGACCTTATTGCTCTCTTCCAATATCTGAAAGGTGCTTACAGTGAGAACGGGGTTGGTCTCTTCTCACTGGTGACAGGTGACAGGACGAGGGGAAATGGCCTCAAGTTGTGCCAGGGAGGTTTAGTTTGGATATCGAGAAAAACTTCTTTACAGAAAGGATTGTTAAGCACTGGAATAGGCTTCCCAGAGAGGTGGTTGAGCCACCATCCTTGGGTGTGTCTAAAAACTGTTTGGATGTGGTGCTCAGGGACGTGACTTAGCTGTGGGTTGTTAGAGTTAAGGTAGTGTGGTTAGGTTGTGGTTGTGACCTGATGATTTTGAATGTCTTTTCCAACCTGAGCAATTTGATGATTCTATGAAAGCAAGTCACTGGGGTATCAGGTTAAGTCCAGACAAGATGTAACAGAAAAGGTGGAGTTATCATCCTAAACCCACCTGTGCTTGAACTAAAGCGTGAGCTAAGGTGCCTTCTTCCTTTCACACTGCATTATAGAGCTGTGGGTCAGTTTTATTTGTTTGTGCTAACATGAAAATCTGTGATTTCTAACTCCATGTCTTCTATCGTTCAGTTTTAAATAATGGAATTTTTCTGAACCTGGAAAATGCAGTGTGCGCAGACCTGCCTGAGAGTCAAAATTGAGGGAAATGTTTGTGTGAGACCAGATGAGGTGGATACACAGCAGAATATCCTGTGTGTAAGGAATGATGCTTTGCCCTCCTGGTCTGTCCTATACAGAAGAGTGTGTGTGACTCAGGCAGTAGAAGTTAGAAGGCTGTATAAAACATTTGAAGGGATAGAGACTTGTCCCGACTCTTTTCATATATATGTTTTGTAACAGCTGTCCCCATGAACAGCACATGCATTCATGTAAATCCAGGAAAAAAAAAAAATCTGGATCTCACCCAGTGTATCAGAAAGAGACCTTCATCTAGTATTCATCATCCTCTTCCAGGTCTTCGCCTGCAGTTGCAGCTTCCAGTGCAGCCAGAGCTGCTGCTATTTCTGCGTCTTCCTCCTCAGTTTGTCCATTGATGTCTTTGTGGCTGTGGTGTGTGGGTGCCTGTGCTGCTGTGGGCACAGCTGCGGCAGCAATGCCTTTGGGAATGTCCTCACTCAAGCCTGCAGAGTCACTGTTAAAAGGCTCAATACTGCTTTTCTTCACATGCAAAGGTGAGGTTACATGAAGGTCTTGGCCCTGCATTGCTGAATGCTTACTCATTTGGTCTGGGTGTGCATAGTTGACTGAAATGCTATCTTTTTCAACATAGTTCCTGATTTGATTGCCATTTTGGCAATAATCTATATCTGGCAGTCTTATGGCATCATTATTTTGGATCTCCAGTACTGCACTTCCTTTGAGAAAGTTGTTATCTTCTATAGACCGGGGCATCACACCTTGAATACTGTTTGTCTGACTGCAGTCTGCCTTCCTGTGTCTGCCTGCTCCTAGGTCAAGCTCTTGGCCACACTCATTCAGTTTGGAGTGGAAGTCTCCAGTGTTGACTGAAGAAGGCTCTGCTGGCTGGCTGGAGGTGCCCTGTTCACTGGCTTCCTTCACTGAGTTTGTGCTAGGACTGAGAATGGGGTGCACACCAGCATGGGAATTGCTGCCATTGACTGTGACATCAAGTTTTGCAACACACTTCACAAGGCTGTCATCTTGAAAAGCATCGCCTCTGTGGTTCCAGAGGGTCTCCCCTGTGCTGTTTACCTCATTTTTAATTCCTGTTCTATTTAGCTCATCCTTCTGGAGTTCTTTTTTCTGTTCTTTAATTTCACGGTTCTGTTTGAATTTGAATTTATTGCTTCTTTGCTCATCTTGTTTGTAGCTGTTTCCTTCATGAGTGCATCCAGGTGATTGTAACTCTTCTGGATCAAAAATGTAGCTGGAATAAGAAAAGTTTGTAGAAGAAATGTTAGGCTATTAATAGTAGTACTTAAAAATGATTATACTTCATTTTTAAGCTTGAGTTCTTAAGGAACTGGTGTCATTGAGGTTTACCTGAGGTCCTGAGAATGACCTAAACTGAATGGAAATGTTGGATTATGTTGCAGTCTCCTGAGAGTAGCACAGAACCCCTGTAATGAGGTTCACCAGAAGCCCAGGAAGATATCAGAGAACTTCCCCTCTTTCTCTTGTAGGACCGGTACTTTTTCCCACTTCCTAACCTGTTCTGGAGATGTGGCCAAGGAAAAGAGTAACCGTTAAGTGGGACTGAAGTGTTGTCTTTCTAAAACAAGTGTCCTTCTTCAGGATGACTTTTAACATAGAAATTGTTCTTGCAGCTAATTTAATTAATAATAAATAAGGAACTATGACGAAAGCAAGGACCTGTAGCTGATTTTCATTTTTTAGAGGAGAGGGAGGTTCTGACGAAGTCTGTGCTCTTCATTCTGCTGAATTGAGGGTAGATTATGCTACCTATGTAGCAAAATCTTTTTGGTTAAGATGAGTTTTCAGTCCCACGCAATACTTCTGTGGCTCATGAATTATAGAAATAGACCTCGGTTACAATAAATCAAAAGGACATTTGTGAGAAGGCAGAGCATTTATGCTCTGGTGTGACTTTAAAGATACCCAAACTCTGGGAAGGCTCCAATCTCCAACTAATTTTAGCAGTAGGTGTGGAGGAGCACAGACATGTTTTAATGCTTTTCTTCTATTCAGTTTAAACGTCTTTTATTGTACCTTTGTATCATTTTGCAGCACCTGCACCCCATCTGGATTTTCTTTAATCTGAAAAGAGAGAAAAGGAAGGCAAGGGAGAAGGAAAATGAGTAAAGTGTTATGAAGTTAATGCATGGGTAATTGTATTGAAAATTATTCTTATGTTTAGAAGGGTTTTATTAGCTAAGTAGAAACATGCCCATGTAAAAATGGATGCAGCGCAGTTCAAGCTCCTTGTAGTTTTCTATCTTGCATTGATAGTGTCCTGTATTTGGAGAATAATCTGGGGAAGAATTTAAGAGCTCTCAAGCAGATAATGCTGTTCTTTCAAAATGTTTATCTAGTCTGCAGAACTTTTATGATTTGGAAACTCCTAAGACAAACTAATAATGTTTTTCTATTGGCAACTAGCATCTATGGCATCCTTTAGTGAGCAGCTCCACAGCTTAGCCTTGCCTGTGTGATAGATCTCCTGCTTTTATGTCACTCAGTCCTGTTTCTTACTAGCAGAGCTCAATGCCCTCTGGTCTGTGCACTGGAGCAGGCAGGAGCATCGCGCTCTGGTGTGGCTGCAGTACAGGTAGTACAAGTCCTACACTGCCACCTTTGGGTCCCATACTCTGTATAAAGAATCTTCATCTGTTGAAATGTGGTGTGTACTGACACTACTTTCTGCCCTGTGATGTCCTTGTCATTGTTCTCTGGAGATATGCGTTTTGACGTCCTTCATGAATGAAAAGTGGGAACCACAATGCCAAGTTCTCACGATGTGCTGAGAGCTACTGAGCACTGAGATAACTGTGTTGAATTCTATTAACCCCCTGGTTAGATACAGAGATGTTATGGGCTTGGCACTTAGTTATGTGCAGTGTTGTGTGCCTGTATTTTACTACAGGGGTTATTCCTCAGGGTTTGACTAGAGCTACCAAACTGCTTGAATCTTGCTACATCTCAGTATAGTGCAAACTTTCTGTGGGTGTGTGTCATTGCCTGATCTGGTGAGATGCTGAGAGCCACCTGCTATGTGGTCATATGTTAGTTTTTTACTGTGGAAGAAACATTTTGTTAATTTGGACACTCAAGAACTTTTATGTTCTAAACCTAAATGAAGACACAGACATGAACAACCCCAAATCCTGGGGGAGGAAGTTATTCTTCATTTTTCAGGTTTGGGCTACCTTAATTCTAGTTAATCAAGTCAGGACAGCTTGTTAATTATTGTTGTTATTCAAACCTTTTCTTTATCTCTTCATGACCTATGATTTTGCATGCTTTTGCCATTGCCTAAGGACAGCAGCTTGCTTCCCATAAGACAGATTGATGACACAAGGTCAGGATATTTTCTAGAGTCAGTTATTCACAGAACAGCAGAGGAAAATATTATTGATTTATTCATGCCAGGCATGGCCTGTAGTTCCCACCAGTGATCATGCTGGCAGAAATTATAATGGACTTCATGTTGTTAGCTGCTTATTCTCCTTTTTTCCCCCCTCTAAATCTTACTTCCTTTGCTGCAAGCAAATGCAATATGAAGAGATTTGGGCAAGTTTGATGCGGTATGAGGCTTGTTTGAGCCAGCTCATGTAGCCTTTTCTGCACAAAAAATAACTCTTTGTTTGCTTGCATGGTGCTGAAAGATGAATTAGTTGGCCCAGGCATGTCTGACTGGCCCTGTACCTTATGCCATCATGGAAGCAACTTTGCAACTGCAACTCAGCAGCAACCAGACAGTGGTGTGCTATGAACTCCATCTGAGCTGAAGTCTGGGCATGGAGTGCAGTGTGGTGCCAGCTCAAGTAATGGCAAGTAAGTTCATGAATTGTGATGCAGTGGCTGAATGCAGTCCTGTGAACAGTGAAAAATATGCAGTCTTGCTTTCTGTTTTGATGAAGTAATTCAAGAACAGATTTCAAGATTGTCAAGAAATTATCTTATTTTAATATTTGTGACTCAGTTTTCAGTCAGCATAAATGTGTGACCTGCAGATTTTCAAAAGGATTGTGTAGAGTTGGAATGAGACATTCAAAAATCTGATCATGTCTCTTTACTAGACTTTCATAAACCCTGTATTGGCAGAGAGAAATACTCCTTGTTTCTCATGATGCTTTATCCATGTCATAGCTTTTTGGCATTTGTGAATAATTGTTTTCAAGAATGAAGAACTGGAAAATTTTCGTTAAAATCTCTGAGGAACACAGGTAGATGATGGTGGTAGGGCAGTGGAGGCTGAACCTTCCCACCAATATTCCATTACATGCTGTGGCCGTGTGATGGCAGCAGTGGGGCACTCTGATAGAATGGCTTCTATTGGAAATGTGTACGGAGCAAAGATGTATCGCTGAGTTCCTCTATGTGGAAAAAAATGGCACTCATTCATTGATACATACTGAAGGTTGATGAAGACCAAACAATGCATGTGAGTGCAGTAAGACAGTGGGTGGTGCGTTTCAGCAGTGGTGATAACAGTGTGTCACCTCCACTGGTGCAGGTTTTTACAAGTGTGGCATGCAGGCTCTTGTTCCTCACTGATGAGAATGTATGGCTAGGGGTGGTGACTGTTGAAAAATGGTGATTTGTAGCTGAGGATTTGCTCTATCAAGCAGTGTTCCTGTGCTCACTATATGTGTTGTAGTTTCCATGGAAATAAACAGGAGGCATTACTTCTGGAGCGATCTACATATATGTGGTCCAAGACAATTCCTCATTACTCAGTACAGCCCAGGCAAGCCAAAACATTGGATACCCACGAGTTATCCCTTCTTTAGATTAAGAATGATTTGAAGTTAATTCAACTGGGCTAAGCTGTATGTTGACACTTGTTTTGGTTTGACTCACATATTTAGTTTTAGCTTAAACTTGCTTCTAAAACAAAAGAACAAAAACTGCTTAAAACTGACCAACCCTTGTCAATCTTGGCCTTCAAGTCTCAATGGTTGCCATGCATTAGGTAAGTCACAGTGACTGTGTGATTTGTCCATGGGAAAGGCACCTTATGTTAAGCCTCTTTCTGTAGAGGCTAAGCTGCTGCTATCCTTCATGTTTACCACAGGCTATGAGTATGCAAATATTATTTCAGCTCTGGTAAACCGTGATGACTTCAGTAGCTGTCAGTTGGCAGGTGAATCCACTGAAGTGCCCATGCAGGCCTGGGTGCTTGGCTTTAAAGTGGCTGGGTTTGGTGAAACCAGTCCAAGTCTGCCCATAGCCCGGCTCTGAGGGCAGATCCTGCTTCGAGCTGGGTGGGGGCACTGCACATCAGGCTGCTTCTGCTTAATCTGTTCTGACAAGTTTCCTACTGAGTGTCGATATTTATAACACTGATTTTTAAAAGGAACTTGCTTGTATAACTATTAACTATTGGGAAGTGCTAATTGATGTCCTTCATTCTGTTGTGAAGACGTTTGTGATCTTCACAGAAAGCAATTATAAATGGAAATTACTGTTGTTACTTTTATAAAAAGCACTTCAATGTTTGTAATTTTTAATTACAGCTACTGTTTGAATGATCTCTGCAGCTACTGCATTTATGCTTTTCAGCTGGTTAGTTACAAGTAAATTTGTTCACTGCCATGCGGGAGATATAATGCGTGGAAATATTTTATGCAGTATTATCTTAAAAATTATTTGACCTCCCTGAAGTAGGAATCTATTTTTTACAATGTTGCCATCTGAGCAATGTTGGTCTTTTTTCCTCCTTGTTCTCTCCTTCCATATATACATAGGTTGCTCTGAAAGTAATGCTTCCTATTTTATTTCCATGAAAGCTAGAAGATGCAAAGACCACAATAACACTTTGATAGAGCAAATTCTGAGTTATAAAACACTATTTTTAATATTTCTGTGAGCTGCAAATAAGCCAGGAGAATCCTGGATTTCATCGATGATAACTTTCAGGTTCAGGTATTAGACAGACTGATTGGAGGTGATGCATTTCTGGACCTGGTGCTCACCAGTGTGGAGGAGAGAATTAAAGACATTAAGATCAGAGGCAACCTGGTCTGCAGCAACTGTGCTCTGGTTGAGTTTGTGATCTTGAATTACGTAGGCCTGGCAAAGTGTGAAGTCAGAACCCTGAACTTCAGGCTGTTTAAGGAACTGTTGGATGAGATCCCTGGGAAGCTGTTAGGGCTAGGGGGTTGGAGCCTGATCATCCTGGAGTTCCATTCCAACTCAAACCATTCTATGAACACAGTCATCACCATTAGCTATACATTTTCACTAATGGTGAACAACAGCCTGCATGCCGCACTTGTAAAAATCTGCACCGGCGGAGGTGACCCACTGTTTCACAGCTGCTGTGTAGGTGCTGTTGCCAAGAATATGTTGCCCACACAAACCCTCTTTCATCAGCCTGAAGAGATGGAATTCAGAAGATGCCAAATTTGAATTGTGTGGTGAGTGTGGTTGGACAGTCCAGCTGAGATTGACAATGTGCTCCATGGTCTTCAAACTGATATGGGGCCCGGTGTTATTGAACTGAAAGAGAAAGGATGTCATCTTCTCTGGCCTTACTCTGGTAGCTCAAGCCTTTGGCTTAGTCAGTGTTGCAGTGTAACAGTCAGAGTTGATTTTTCAAGCTCATAGCAGTGACACCACATCTCATCACTGGTGATGATGTGATCCAGGAAAATGTCAGCTTCAACCTTGTATTGGTTCAATAGGTCAGGAAAAACTTGCATACAATGTTCTTTCTGTTCCTGTGTGAGCATTCATTGGACCCACTTGACACAAACTTTGCGATATTTCAATGTTGCCACTGTTGTTTCCAACACATTGAAGCTGATACTCAGCTCTGTACGCAGTTCCCTGGTTGTTATCCAGCAATTCATGTGGGTGATCTGATTGAGATGTTCTTCATTTTGTGGTGTGACAGCTGCGTGGCTGCCTGGAACATGACTTGTCTTTCAGATCACTGTCACTATTGCTGAAATGCACCACCCACTGCCTCACTGTTTCCATCCCCTGTTTGGTCTCCATGAAAGTTCAGCAAGCATTGATGAATGTCAGTGAGTGAAATTATTTCCACATGGAAGAATTCAATGACACACCTTTG